TTGATAGGTTTGCTCATAGACGTGGCCAATGAATTAAAGGCTTGATCACAAGATTTACTCGGTGCACATGCAGCCCAGTAATAAGGGAACCTGCAGCGTAAGGTTAGGTTGCCATGCCAATTGAGAATCCACACTTCAGGAGCCTGCTTTTTGAGGCTGGTGTATACATGCTATCAAAGACAAGAAGCAAAGTGTAGATGCCTTGAGTAGCACGAATATGGTGGCAGCGATGGAATGAAGTCATTTAAACAGACAGATAATGGAAGGTTTATACGGAGCAAGAGGGGACTCTGATAGGACCCGAAGGGAGAGGATTGCGGATTAAACCCACTCTCGGCCTAGTCGGAAGGATGTGGAAACCAGCGGGAAGTGTAAATATGTTTCTAACAGGTTTAGATAACAAGTAAAAAATTGTGATAATGAAGGGGTGATACGAAGATATGGGATGGGTGAATGCCTGGGACAGAAGGAGAGATACCACAACAATTTAGCAGACAATTTGTCAAAGGATCGACTTTACTTGTCTCGTTGACGAGTTGTAGTGTGGTACTGAAAATGGTAAGAATCACTAACGATGCCGACTAAGATGCCGGCAAAACGTCCAGGAATGTAGCATGACCATGGTCCGACTCTGAAAATCATAATGCATACTATGGAATCCGGATTGTGTGCGTTCCTCAAGGTCTTCCTGCTAATATGACCAAGTTGTGAAAACAAGGTCAAACAATTTCTAAGAAAGGCTCCACGAAAGTCGCCACAGGGAGCACACCTCTAAAGGAATCGAATATAAACAATTTAAAAGTTTTGATATTGAAGGAAAGAAATAAGAGAATACTGAGTAGGTAGATATACCGGAACAGGAGTGATAACGCATTCGTTCAACAGAAAGTTGGTCAGGAAAGTAAGATTGGTGAGAATGGCAAGACTCACTGGCTATGTAAATTACGGTGCAGCTGATGCCCTTGAGAATGTACAAAGTCCCTGGTCTCACCCTGAAAATCCTCATCACTACTAAAGCAGAAAATTTTTGACAAACTGCATCCATCTAGAGGTAGTTTGACCTTGTTTTCGCAACATGGTCATATTGGTAGTAAGACTTAGAGGAACACACCTAGTCCGGATTCCATAGTCTGTAGGATCATTTCCAAAGTTGGACCGTGGACGTGGTACATTCCCAAACGTTTCGCCGGCATCGTCAGTGAGTATCGCCATTCTTAGCACCATACAACAACTCGTAAAGAAGCGAGTGAAGCCGATCCTTTGACCAAACGTGTGCTAAACAATTGTGGTATCTCCCCTTCTGCCCTGGGTTATT